CTTCCACAACCACCCCCACCCACCAGCCATCAAGACCACCACCACCTACCATCATCACTACCGACCACCACCACCACCACTCACCTCTATCACCCATCACCACCACCTGCCACCACCACCTTCCACAACCACCCCCCACCACCACCCACCTCTACCACCCATCACCACCACCCACCACCATCTACCGCATCCATCACCCACCAAAACCATCATACACCACCACCATCACTCGTCACCCCCACCACCAACCACCAGCACCCACCCGCCACCACCACCCACCACCCACTATAATTACCACCCCTACCATCACGAACCACCCCACATGTCACCCCCATCACCCTTCACCACCACCACCACCAACCACCTACCATCACCAAACATCACTACACACCACCAACACCACCCGCCATTATGTGGATATAATCGCATTTGATTATGTGTATCTAATCACATATGATTTGTATGGATAATATTATTTTTTGTCCATATAAATCATATGTATGATTTATATGGATAATATTATTTTTTGTCCATATAAATCATATGTGATTAGATACATATAATCACATATGATTAGATATATTTAATCACATATGATTAAATTTGAAAAAAAAAAAAACAATAATTGAATCGAGAACATGATAATGAATATTGTCCACATAAATCATATGTGATTGGATACATATAATCACATGTGATTATATGTATTTAAATCTAATATGATTTATGTGGAGAATATTTATTTTCGAGGTTTCAATTTAATAATTGGTCTCGTGTATTTAATCACATGTGATTATATGTAATTAATCACATATGAGTTATGTGGACAAGATTTGTTTTCGTATCATCGATTTAATAGTTATTCTCGTGTATATAATCACATGTGGGTATATATATATATATATATATATATATATATATATATATATATATATATATAGACAAGATTCTTTTTTATATAAATAATATGTTATTAGATACATATAATCGCATGTATTAAATGTATTTAACCATATATAAATAAAGTGGACAAAGAATAATTATTTAATCACATAAATCATATATGATTATAAGTATTTATTCACATAAATCACGTCTGATTAAATACACAAAAACAAAAATTGAATCAAAAATGCAAAACGAATATTATCCATAAAAATTATATGTGATTAGATAAATATAATCACATGTAAATATCTATAAAATTGCATCATAAAAGTCACGACTCTAACTATTATATCTTTTTAACAAATAGTTTTTTAAAACTACGACACTAACATGTAAATATATATAAAATTGCTCATGTTTAAAACTACGACACTAACATGTACATATTTATAAGACCAAACACATTAATGATACCTAACAAACTAATGAAAGTAATTCGAACATTACTTACAAACAAAAGTGATTTTTATTTTTCTAGATGCTCATATGATATTCTTTATTTATTCCTCTTATTTTATTAATTTTTATTAATGATATAAAATAATTATTTGTTGGTCATGTCTTTTTAGTTTAACGGTGATTAATTTTGTATATCTTAAGAAAGAAAGAAAAAAAAACCTTTTGTTGGTTTTTTGGAGTCCCCATCCACATGAGATCCCCCTTCGCCTCCAAATTTACAATTATGTCTTCGCCTTCAATTTTTCTCCATCTCTTTCTCTATACATTTTCTAATCTCGTTGAAAAAGCAAAACGTAATCCTTCAGCAGGAAGTATGATTTCGAGATGGAGAAATTAGGGTTTTGGGTGTAACTAGTGATGGAAAAGAAAGTAAGTGTAATTAGGGTTTTGGGTGTAACTAGTGATGGAAAAGAAATTGGTGTTTGAACGGTTGAGTTTAACAAGTGCATTTATATGTATATGATGACATCAACACCGATAGCGTCGGCAGATGGATTATAGCCGGAAGGAACAATGATGTCAAGTGGCTCCTTCTCCAGCGAAGTTTTCATCTCCGGAGAAGCTGGATATTTAAACCCTCTATATCACACTTATTTTGTAATAGCAAATACATACTATTCCTCATCATTTTGTTATCTCCAACAAAAGTTCAACTATCAGTCATTATCGCTGGTGGCTGTGAGCCACCAAACTAGTGGCTGTGAACACTAGATCTAGTCGTCTTGAACTTCAATCCAGATCTGTTGAAAGTAGATATGGGAGGTCGCTCAGAAGAGAAGAAGAGGTGAAGCGGATTCGTAGAGAGCGGAGAAACAGCATTTTGGCGGTGGTCCTGTCGATACGGCTGCCGGCGATGGCTCGACGGCCGGCGGCAGCTCGATGTCCGGCAATTGTTCGGTGGTATTTGGTGGAGCAACTTAATATTATAGAGTGTGATAAATTAATACAATGGTGGGTTGTGGCCATGTGGGTAGATGGGTTGAATAAATTTATTTATTTTCTAAATAATAATATTATTAAAAATTAAATAAATTAATAATAAATTTCGCTTGTGGCTGGAAATTGTTCTCAATATAAAAAATATTGTCATTTGAATATATATATATATATATATATATATATATATATATATATATATATATATATATATATATTGGCGAATAGTTTTTTACGTTGAAATAATTATTATATTTTATTATTAGTTATTATGTAATAGTAACTAATATAAGTATGTTTTTGTTTTGATTAAATTATATGTATCTTGCTATTTTGGGTTAAAACTACTTTTCTTGATTAAAAAAGAAAAGTTCATTGTGTTATTAGGTAAATTGTTTTCTTTATGAGAATTGTTTTCATCAATTAGTGCTATCAAATTGAGTTGTCATGTCGTGTTTTTGTCTGACACGACACGACGCGATAACTTGTTTTTTTACATTGACATGAAACGAACAAATTAAAATACGACAAACATGACATGACACGGCAAAAATAACATAAAATAACCAATTGAAATAACGTTATTAAGAGCTATGCTAACTAATACAAAATCAATAAGAATTAAGAATGAAAAGTTTGGATTCTTTACAAATGCAAATGAATACATGATTGATTGTGCATTATTGATCTTGCAATACTTCTTTATACACCACATTTACAGTACAGACTTCACTACCATTGAATTGTTCATCTGGGATCACTAATACTTTTGTATTGGCACGTGATACCCCTCTGGATAATGCCACATAAAGTTGTCTGTGCGAGAAAACCGATTCTGGAAAATAAATTCCTACATTTGGAATTGTTTGTCCCTGGGCCTTATTGATTGTCATTGTGAAACATAATCGGATTGGAAGTTGTTTTCTCTTTAGCTTGAACGGGAACATGTCATCTTCAGACGGACATAGAGGAATCCTTGGCAAAAAAAACTCTTTTTCCAACATGTTGACCAACAGCTATTTCAGCATCTATTACATTGTGTTGAAAACCTTTACATATCAATCGGATGGCGTTACACAATCCATTTGATGGGTCGCGATTCCGTAACAGTATTATCGGGCATCCAACTTTCAATCGTAGGTAATGAGGGGGTAAACCACTAACACTGAGTGTGTTCAAGAATTCCACAAGATAGAAGTTATTTATATCGTCTTTAGCTTCATCAAAACTGTAGTAAATTTTCTCTTCTCCATGGAATCGGCCGATCAATAAATCATTAATCTCATCGACACTATCATTTCTTATGGATAATATTGCACCCGAAATAATATAATCGGTTTGAGATCTATTAATTTCCAAGGATGGAAAGATTGCATCAATCAAAGCATTTAATGACTTTTCTTTTTCAGTGAAGAGAATACCATATCATCAGGGATGCGAATAAAGTTTCCATGCACTGTTTCTTCAACTCCATCACCGACACATAATAGAAAGTCTGAGAACCATGGATCGCTTAGTGCTCTCATATTTATAGTTAACCGTAACTTGATAATCGAAGACCAAAGAGGCAACATTTGTATGCTAGAATCCACAGTATGTGCTCGTGTTCCACGTCTAACGACAGGCAAAACCTGTCTGAAATTACCTCCCAAAACCATTGTCTTTCCACCAAATAGGAGCATCACCCCGGTTATATCTTTCATTGTTCGGTCCACCACCTCCAACACATGTCTTTTAGCCATCGACGCTTCATCCCATATGATTACTTTTGCAATCCGAAGCAGTTAAGCAGTACCACTTTGTCTTGAAATCTTGCAGACCGAGTTATTTTCAAGATTAATAGGAAGTTTAAAGCGAGAGTGAGTTGTTCTCCCCCCATGCATGTTATTAGCCGCAACACCCGATGAAGCGCTCGCCAGTGCAATATGACCACACGAACGAATATTAGCAAGTAAAGCTTTGTACAAAAATGTTTTTCATGTTCGACCACAACCGTCTATGAAGAAAACTCCTGGAATATTACTATGGACATGCCGCATTATCTCATTATATGCCATTTTTTGTTCAGGATTGAGAAAATCCCGGGCTTGTAAATGTTATGATTCTAAAACTATAGAGCATTCCTCTTGTACCTCACGAAAAACTCCAGATTCTAAATCGACATTTTCATTTATCTTTGGAAGATCAAAACCATCAATATTGTCACTCATAGATTGTAGGAATACCTTGATGTCGGTGAGGACCATATTTTGGACTCTCTCAACACTTCCATATTGTCGCCTATAATCTTCTAAAAGAGCATTGTAGTGGTCATCCCATAACTTACGAACATCTCCTGGCTCAAAAAAGTCAATACCGTTGCAAACAGCCTTCTAAGAGCATTGGGAACTTGAAATAAAGATGCCTCTGCAAGACATTGTGATAAACCATCATCGGACTCTATTAACCCTCTTTCAAGAGTTGCTTTCTGAAATGTTGGGTGTTTTACATTGTTGACTGTGAAGAGATCTTCAAAACACGTAGGCCCACTAATATGCTATAAAAGTAGGCGAAGTTAGTATCGCTCCCCTTCAGCGGGATTGGCAGAAACCAAACGACCTTGCATTAATCGTTGTTTTCGATGATTCTAAAGACGTGAGATTGGATCCCACGTAATATTATGTTTGATCTCCTATCTTTCTCCTTCTCACAACGCTAGTTAGTGTATCATCCTCACTGAACCTAACCATCTGTTGATTTGGGAGATGCACCTGCAAAGCCATCACAAAAGGGTGGATCTGAGAAAAAGGGAAGCTAAAAATCCTCCACATGGCCTCTGGAGGTGAGACATATCGTGCATCCTGAAACCGTTTTATCTCATTAATAGCGACAGGTTGTCCATCCGGATCAATATTGATAACTTGTTTGTCATGACCCGTGTAAATATACTTTAACACATATTTCACAGAGGTTATACTCGAGCAGACCTCAACATTCAAATAACAATTAAACATCATTAACAACTTTGGGTTATATGGGACAACCCATCTGGTATCCATCTTATTGCCCCCGTACGTCCACCTCTATGCCATTATCTCTCCTTCGGTAAACAGGATATGAGTCCTTTCCTTGTAACGTGGTTTCATTGAATTGCCGAGGGTATATAAAACGACATTTCTTTTGCTCATTATTCATACAAGGACAATCAGAGTTTAAGCTACCGCAAGGACCATGGATCATGTGTGAGACAAATAATTCGTGCATTTCAGGATTCTTTTTTGGGTCTGGAATTTCAGCACATACTGTTTTGTCGTAATGGTCAGTGTTAGTAAGCTTGTATGGAGGTTTCATTATCAGGAGGAAATGTGCATGCGGCAAACCACGTTTTTGAAATTCAATGACATAAACGTATGAACCCACCACGCCGAGGACGTGCTTTGTGAAGAGTTGTTTCTTAAGATCCTCTAACTTAGCACGAAAAACACTTGACACAAGGACCGGTCGATCTTGAGACGTTTGCCAAGGAAGTAACTCATTTTTTATTTCCGGCCAATTTGGATTGCATGTCCTTGTAAGGAATATGTCAGGCTTCCCGTCATCTTGAACTAAAGTCATGGCGTCAAGAAATCTTCACCGTATGTCACGGGGGCTTCCGATGAAACTTGCAGGCAACACAACACGCTGCCCTATCATATTTGATCAAACCTCACCGGCATTAACATAGTCCACAACACCTTGGTATAAATTTGCTCTTATTTTGGACTGGTTTTTTCTGCAAAAATCCAAACATGAAGTCTCAAGCTTGATGTAGATATCTACGACAAACTGCTGTAGTAATCTCCCTCCCATCAAAATTACATTATAATTTGACCGGATTTGAAACTTATAGCAGTAGTACTCTCGCATAGATACAGTATCCCGCCCTCTTTTTGTATTAGAGTCTACACAATGTTGATGTCGTGAATAAAAAAGAATTAATGATGTGTACAAAATGTAATGTTTGTTAGTTTAAATAAAATTTATGAAGTTATGATATGTGTACCTTCTAAATTATCCCTGATGTCATCGTCGTCATTAATAATATTATTGATGGGAATTCCATGTATTGGGATATTAGAATGCCATCCAGACTCACTGTTAGGAAAAAATAAAGGATAAGACAATGGATCATAACATCCCCATTAAGATTGAATTGTTTTTGGTTTGTCGGATCTGCCATACACGATAATACTTTGTTTATATGCGGATATGTTGTCATTACCTTCAACCCAAATACCAGCGACCTAATATTTTTTATCATAGAAACAAAATGATTAAATATGGTGTGTAATATGCACATATTTATGTCATAGATGATATATTTATTTTATAATTAGCAAACATAATATTACGGTACCTCGGATGTGGTCAGTCGTTGTATACCCTCTGGTCAAGTTCTACTGATGCATTCAACGTGACTCTGTGATTGTCAATCGGCCCTAGATCACCGAGTCTTCGAAATATTTGCACGTATGGGTTTTGTAGCAAGAATACGAATCAACTTTTCAGCAATTTGTTTATCAATATTCTTCCATTGTAGTCTATGTGACATCTCATAATCAGCATCATAAAAATACAACTGTGTGTATCGAGGTATTCCATCCCTTGGGATTAACTGATCAATTCTATGATACATTCCTCCATTCACACAAAAAGTGTATACTCCAGATGTCATGTCGATCATTGTTTTATCGACATCGACGCCCATTGATGTGAAGGACAAGTTTGAGTTGTATGCACGTATCTTTTGTCTAAATGTCTTGCCTAATTCGTTTATAGATGTGAAGAGATCGAGTAATTCATCGGGAATAGAAGAATGTGCCAATTTTGTCTTACCATCCATGCAACAAAAGGTAGGGAATTCAAATTGCAATCGTTTTGCTCCACAATGAACACATGCTTTCTGCACCTTCAACACACGATGTTTTTTAGGGACACCATCATAAACAAAGTTATATGGATCGTCCTGGAGAGTTTGAATAGATGTTTTCATTGAGTTTCGTTCCTTGCGTCTTTGATAGTTATTTTTGTTCCGAATCGACTTCCTTTGAGCATAATCCAATACACTTGTACGGGTTGCATTTGTAATATCAGTTAGGGTCCTCTGTACTACAGACACATTCGTCGTATGTGTCACATTTTGGCTACTTACTTCTCCGTTAGCTATTCGTCTCATTTTGTTCTTCTCTTTTTGTCGTTCATAATATGTCTAATTATATGCTTTCCTTTTTTCTGCAATATTTTGTTTTGGATGAATTATGCGTAAAGATAATGTAATAATCATGTTGCGCATCTGAAACATACCTTTTGTGCATTTAAATCAAGTTGAATAGATGTTCTCATTGAGTTTCGTTCCTTGCGTCTTTGATAGTCATTTGTGTTCCGAATCGACTTCCTTTGAGCATAATCCAATACACTTGTAGGGGTTGCATTTGTAATATCAGTTAGCGTCCTCTGTACTACAGACACATTCGTCGTATGTGTCACATTTTGGATACTTACTTCTCCCTTAGCTATTCGTCTCATTTTGTTCTTCTTCTTTTGTCGTTCATAATATGTCTTATTATATGCTTTCCTTTTTCCTGCAATATTTTGTTTTGGATGAATTATGCGTAAAGATAATGTAATAATCATGTTGCGCATATGAAACATACCTTTTGTGCATTTAAATCAAGTTGGATAGCATCATTAGGCTTATTTTCATTGTCTACAATCACCATGACAAATATAAAAACGTAAACAATAATAATATATAATTTTATTAGTTTCATAACACATTGTAATAAAAAACGATTTTTTAATAAAATACTTATATATTAATCAAACATTGATTGGGTTGAACTAATTATTTATATGTGAGATTGATCTTTACATTAAATTATATAGTTTTGTTTTCAAGACTTGGAAGTAATGTTTTAACCGTTTTTGGGTATTGACTTACCGTGTCAACTTATAATTTGAATTTTGAATAGTTTTTCCAGTGTATCGTTCTTTCAGGTTTCAATAAATTTTTTTTTCAATAATTGGATAAATTCATTTTGATTGATTTATATTTAGATAATATTTGTAAATTCTATTTGGTAGAATATTTATTTTGATTAATATACAACAATATCAATATCCTATAAACAGAAATAACAAAATACAATAATATAACAAAAAATCGTCAAACAAATAAACTAAAATTTATAAACTTAAAACGTACCAAAAATCCATATCACAAAATCCGTAAACAAATAAATACCAAAAGAACTACAAAAACAAATAAAAACCTTAAATCCAGCTAACAAATAACTACCACATACGACGCACACAAATAACTATGGAAAAATTAAATATTTTCCCTATCTCTCATTCGAATCCTATCAGCTTCCGGCATTCTTGGATCTAACGTGACATCGGTTAATGCAGTTAAAACCAAAATATTATCTGTATGGACATGTATTATACAATTAATAAGGTATCCTGAAATAATTTATTTATAAATAATGAAACTATATATAATGTTGCCCATAGTTAACTTACACAAATTTTGGTGGACCAACTTGACCCTAGAGACATAAATTATAGATTGATTAACAATTTCAAGATACATTTGTATTATAAGGCTCATCGGTACGTGATTGAACATTAACTTTATTGTATGCCCCCTATTCATTCAAACAAAATGTTTTTAAAACACATAATAATAATAATAATAATAATAATAATAATAATAATAATAATTGGTAAATACATTTAAATAAAATACATTATATTAGCATACTATTAATTTTTTTTATATATCTATATCTATATATAATCTTACATCTCATTGTGGAGAAATAATTCAAATGCATAGAATGGCCTCATTCGTCTTCCTCATACGATTTTTCCAACGACATCTACAATACACCAAATTTAGTATTAGTTAATTTTTCGTATGAAATATATAAAAAACAAATATATATAATCTAATATATAAATGTACCTATCAACATTCTTCGACGGCTAAAATCTTTTGTGAGGCTTGTGATAGAAGAACACAACAGATAAATTGGAAATGAATTGGCGATATCATTTCCCAAGAGAGTAAAAAATGTGTTACTCTTTATAAATATAGCCCACTCACCAAAGAAAATCCTATAATGTTGATGTAACACCCAAAAATTCAAGCCAAATTTAAACTTTCAAAACATGTCGAATTTATCAAAACATTACAACTTTGTTTTCAAAATACATTTATATCAGAGTTTTCCCAGAAACATAACATAATAGGAGGAGTTGTACGATCATGCCTTCGCCTTGCCGCGATCCCCTGATGTACCTGAAACAATAAACTGAAACTGTAAGCCCGAAAGCTTAGTGAGTTACCCCCAAAATACCGATACACATACAGTCCACATAACCATGTCACACCATGACATATCATAACAAACTGAGCAGAACAGCACATAACGGGTCCACAGCTTTACAGACTGGAATACCCCTGGGCCACAGTGTGAGTCTGGAATGCCTACCGGGCCCTCAGCTCACATCTGGATTGCCACCGAGCCCTCAGTACGAGTCTGGAATGCCTACCGGGCCCTCAGCTCGTATCTGGAATGCCACCGAGCCCTCAGTACGAGTCTGGAATGCCTACCGGACCCTCAGCTCGTATCTGGAATGCTCCCAAGTCCTCAGTATGAGTCTGGAATGCCTATCGGGCCCTCAGCTCATATCTGGAATACTCTAGGGTTTGTTGGCTACCGCACGGAGCAGTACAACCTCAACCCATCCCACATAACATATCAACATGTAACAGATAATGCACATGCAGACAATCAATCAGTATCACAGGTAGTCCTACAGACCTACCCTCTAGCGTATCAAATTAGCATGCATAACTAACTCATACTCAACATAATACAACTACTAGGATATCATATCCAATGGGCCAGCCTTGGTGCCTTAGACCCCTTAGTATAGTGAGGATAACTCACCTCGCAACTGTCGTCGGAAATAAGAAGGCTCAACTCCTGGGTCCAACACGAACTCCACCACCTATAGGTACCATACAAACCTTTTTCATAAATCTCCCAATTACCAGAAACCATCAGAAGTCAACTGGTCAACCCTTGGTCCAAGTCAAAGTCCACAGTCAAAGTCAACAGTCTGTGTTGACTCGACTCGTCGAGTGCAGATCACCGACTCGTCGAGTCCTTCCTGAACTCGAGAAGTCGTGAAATCCTTGATTGGCTCGTCGAGTTCCCTTTTTAACTCGTCGAGTTCATACGTGGCCAAGATTTGGAAGAAACCCTAGCCAACTCGATGGTCTTCTAACAACTCGCCGAGTTCAAGGCAATCTTCAACGAACTCGCCGAGTTGCTCAACCAACTCGCCGAGTTCACGGCTATGTTCATAGGACTCGCCGAGTCCAGCGTTCTACTCGCCGAGTTCATTCAGTCCTTTTTCCATACAGACCTGGTTTGAGCCATGCAGCGGCTCCAAACCACAGATCTAGGCTTCTAGGGCATGCTTATCACGTAAAGTTGCAAACTTTACATGCATGCATAGCTTTAAGGGCTCCAAATGTCAAAACTAAGCTCTTAATGGGG